ATAGAAACCATTTCTTAAATTGCAAATAAAAGCTGATAGAATTGAAATACAATTCATCCTCACAGGTTCAGATAAACATACATTCTTGCTTATAAATGATAAAGTATATTTTCTTTTCCTTCACAGGGAAAATTGTAACATTTTTATTTCATTCTATGATACAGTTTTTCTTTTGAAAAAATAGGGCAATAAATGACTCTAATTATGGCCAGAATGGGTTGAATCTATGACCAGAATCCACTCCATTCCTAGGCTTTTGAGATCTACTCATGAAGGACAAAAAACATATCCGCCAATATTCAATTTAAAATTTGTCAAACAAAACAGGCATTATACCCTAATTTTCTTGTCTTGTTTTCTTGTTGATGCCATATGATGACAGCTGATTCAGCACTAGACAATCTGCTAAACAACGTTCCCAGATAGATCCCTCTGATAAGCCCACCTGTGGAGGGAACCTTTCTTATGCTTTCATCTGATGTTTGCAACTTGCCTTGGCCTCAGGTTGTTAGAAAGCATCCTGAATGGTCTTTATGGGCCACATAATCTCACCTTAAAAGATTATTATATAATGTTAACGAAACTATCAAACTAATTTCCTGAATGGCTGTGTTATTTTACATTTCCACTAGCAAGGGTGAGTTTCAATTTGTCTACATCCTCACCAGTATTTGATATTGTCACAAATTTTATTTTTTATTTTCGCTCTTCTAACATGTGTATAGTGATACAACATCGTGCTTTTAATTTGCATTTCTCTAATGGCTAGTGATCTTGAACATTTTCCCATGTTCTTATTTGTCATCCATATAAGTCACTGAAATGTCTCTTCATGCCTTTTGCACATTTTCTAATTGGATTGTTTGCTTTTTTACTATTGAGTTTTGAGTTCTTCATATGTTCCAAATGTGATTCTTTTGTCAGATATAAGGTTTGTAGGAACTTTTCCTCAGACTGTAACTTTTTGTTTTATTCTCTTATTGAGGCCTTTTACACAGCAAAGTTTTCAGTTTTGACAAAGTCTTGTTTATCAATTTTTTTTTTTTATAAACTGTGTTTTGGTGTCAAGCCTAAGAATGCTAGGCCTAAAGATTTTCATGTACTTAAAGTGTTACAGTTTTATGCTTTACATTAAGTCTGTGATTCATTTTGGAGTCGTTTTGTATAAGGTGTGAGGTTTAAGTTAAGGTTCATTTTTAGCCCCTTACAGATGTCCAACTACTCCAGCATCATTTGTTGAACAGCCTGTCTTCATTGACTTGCTTTTGCATGTTTGTCCCAAACCAGTTGGCTGAATTTGTGTGAAACCGTTTCTAGGTTCTCTATTCTGTTCCACTGATCTAAGTGTCTATTCTTCCATCGGTGCCACAAATAGAAAATATTGAAGACATAAGGGACAAAACAGACCTCCTTCCTTCAAAAATAAAGGAAAGGCTTGTTTACAAAGTTGGTTTTTGTTACTCCCAATCATTTTCATTGTATGCTAGATTATTTTGTATTTGTTTATTTTTAACTGTAATATATTTCAAAAGGTTTCTAGAATATTGGCTGTGGGAGAGCTACATCTCGAATTTAACTGTTTTTCCAATGTTATAATACTGTCTTTGTCAAATAAGTATGAAATGATTTTTTAAAATATTTTCTCTATATTAGCGATGCTCTGCATCTGTTGTTTAGTTTGAAAATATGGCTTTCTTATGTATATTGTGTATGTTGACTTGTGTTGAACAAAATTCTGGACTATGAGTTCTAATAGCTGAGTTATAAAGTATGTTGTTTTTCTATATAGATCACGGTTTTCAGTGTTAACTGATTTTTTCCCTCTCCTACCCATATTTCATGACCCTTATTTCTTTTCTTGTTCTTTTTTTCTTATGCTGACTAAAACCTTCATTTTAAGGCAAGATAGAAGCTTTCCTTTATTAAATTTTAAACGAAATTTAAAGTAATGGCATACATTCACAGGTATTCTAAAATAAGCCATCTTTTCATTCTACCGACAAACTGTACACTTCCTGGATTCATTTTACTAATCTTCATGTAGACTGTTTGCATGTGTAGTTAGTTATAAATGAGATTGATCTGTAACTCCCTTTTTTGTGAAATCCTCATTTGGTTTCAATATCAAGTTTACGTTAATCTCTAAAAATGGGTTGAGGTAATTTTCATCTTTATCTATCCTTTATCTTTTCTCTTAGACTTTATTTTTTTAAACTATGAATCATATGCTTTGCTCATTAGTTGTAAGACCATGGTTTTTTCTAATACATACGATGAAAGCTATGCATTTATTTATGTTAACTGTTTTAGTTTCATTTGTGAAATTTTGATGTAGACTTTCTTTCATCAGTGGTTGGTTCTAAAAATTTATCATTTTTATTATGTCTTCTTTAACCTGTGCTCTATTTAGAAACAGCTTTTTTACGTTTCTGAACATATTGGGAGGCGTGGTTCCACTTTTGTTAATGATATTAATTGTATTAAGAAAAAGCCTGGGTAATTTTAGTTCTTTGGCATTTGTTGAAATTTGCTTTGCTTTGTGACCTAAGACCTAGTTGATTTTATAAATCATTCGTGAATTCTTGAAAAAAAAGGTTCCTTCCTTGATAATCGGGTGCAACAGGTGAAAATGAGTGTCTGCTGGGATCTGCATCCCAGTAATGCACACCAGTGTCGTCCAGCCCAGACTCATGTACTTCCTCTTACAGCCTTAACCACTTGCTGCCTGAGCTGTCCAGATAATCACCTGAGGTATTAATGATTGTTATTCTAAGTGTTCCAGTGACAAAGTTCAATAAGTTTTGAGTAGACTATCTCAAAACTATGTTTCCCATAATTGTTATTGTCAGCGACTATTTTATATATTGACAGCAGCACATGTACAAACATAGCTGATCCACCCATAATTAGACAAAAAAAGTTGCAGTGCACAATATATTTTCAGAATATGAACTAAAATAAACGTTTAGACCATTTAAATTCAAAACAGGGAGAGTTATTGAAAAAGAAAGTATATTAAAAATCAATCTTTCATACATATATGGATTTGAAATCTAACAACCTTAGCTTCTGATTTTCCAGATTATAAAGAAATTAATTTACAAACAACTCTCAGAGCTTCTTTCTGACAGCCTGAGAGGGTTGCTCAGTGAATCGGGTTGTCACCACACAGTCCTTAAACATTATTAAACATCTTTGTTGAGTTAAAAACCAGAGGACTGTTATGTTCATTAGATTATCCTCAACGTTCAACCGCATGCTAATTAGCATAAGATGCTCTGAGATGTCATTGGTTTTACTTCTTTAACTTTTTCAGTGGTTCCCTGGGTACCTACTGACTAACCAGGAAAGTCATGGAAGTCAAAGTATCTTGAGAATCAGTCAATGAGTCAAACTTGGTGCAGTTTTGTAAACAGATTTCAAAGCAGAAGATATTTCCTGTCCAGCATTAATGAGCTCTCACTGTGGGTGTGACAGTGATTGTGGTTTTTAATCAAACAAACAATTTTGGACAAATCTGTCATTATTTCAGAACCACTGTTTAGGTCATTGGAAAGGGAGCATTTTGTGTGTGGTTATTTGATACTTCTAACATCACTCTTACAAATACTATGAAGACTTTTACAAAAAGACATGATTCTAAAGTATTGTCAAACAACAAAACAAAATTCCACAACGCTGCTTCTCCTTCTCCTTATATGTATTAAATATGTGTCTATATAGTATAATCAAGTCTCTTGTATTTTTTTTTCTTGAGCTTTTATGGAACATTTATGACTGCCATAAAATCATCTCTTTGGTATTGGATGAGTATAGACTCTCTCAACTTAGTTTTCTTTAGTTGCAAAATAGATTGGTCGTGCCTGGTGGTTGTGAGAATAACACTTTGCAAAGCATCAAGTGAAATAGAAATGGAAATAGTGTTGTCACAACCTGCTGTCCATTCAAATGGATAGGGCACCTTGAAAAAGATGAAGTAGCAGTGCCCTTGCTGCACGATCTTTCCAGATATGCATATGACAAACTACATCATTGTGCGTGCATTGTTATTTACTTGCTTGAGACTTACATCACAAATATCTTAAAAGAACATATAAACACTTCTCTGAACATGTATTTGTCAACCACATTCTGGAATTTTCAGTGCTCTCACATTAATATTCTGCCAATAGTAAAATTTTAACCAAGTGGTAAATATATGAGTTAGTACAATTCCATTACAGGTGTTTTGGGTGATGACTATAGGAAATAGGAAATAGCATCTTGAAAGAAAGTGTATATTTTAAGTTTCAGGACAGAGAACTCAGTTTGTTAATCACTATGTCAATAAGACAGAGACTACAACAGCAACAATTCTATCCATGATTTTGAATTGTGAATAGAAAAATCTCCATTCCGTTGCTCAATCTTTACCCTTAGGTCTCTTGAAATTAATGTTACCAATTACTAGGAAAAGTGTTTAGCAATAAATTGGTGGAAAATGATCACTGTTTTATATAAGAATTTATTATGTACCTGCCTTTTAAATAAACAATATGTTTTATTACATTAGATTAACAGAGTTATCAGGATATTCAAAGCCAATGTTATTAGGGTGTGCTGAAAGACTTAGAATGGCTTTCTGCCAAAATTTAACACATAAAGTTTAATCAGCATTATTCAATTAGCTGAAGGATCTTAAGGCAGTGATAATACTTTTAAGAATTTTGGTATAGATTTAAAGAAAAGGAAAACATGGATTGTTAGATATTAAGCAAAACTACATATCTCTAATTCTGTTATTTATTTTATTACCATGCAATCTTGAGTTAGATATTAACTCTCTTTGCTTTTCTCTCAGTCTATAAATAAGGCTTTGCATTTGTATGTCAAGCACAAAGAGGAATGAAGGAGGTTCTGAATTGTGTGATAGGTAATAGAAAATCAAAATTGTGTTCTGTAGTGCTACTATATTCATTGTAATAATGGGTCTAGTGACTTTCTCACTGTGTTTCTTTCAGGTTGCTTTCAGCTATGTAATGTTTTTCGATCCCATGAAATGGAAATTGACCAGTGCTTGCTGGAGACCCTTCCCCTTGGCCAAAGGCAGCGTCTGGTGAAACGCATGCGCTGTGAACAAATCAAAGCCTACTATGAAAGAGAGAAGGCTTTTCAGAAGCAGGAAGGATTCCTGAAGAAACTGAAGCATGGGAAGAATCAGAAAGTCCATTTTAATCTTGCTGACATGATACAGGATGCAATTATCCACCATGATGACAAAGAAGGTATATGACATAAAGAAAAAAGTTTCCTTATATAATTTCTCATGTTTTTTGTTTGTTTGTTGTTTTCTTGGTGGGGAGATGGGAGTTGTAGAATTTTTTTAACTATTAAGGTTTTTTTTTTAACTGTCTGAAATATTTAAGAAAAAAAGCTCTTTTCAATGAACAATTGAAAGCCCTGTCTCATAGTAAAAATGAAAAAAAAAAAGCAAAATTTTGGTAAAATTGTTGTATATGATTTTTTTAAGATTATCTACCTGAAAAGCAAGTGATTTTCTTGAAAATTGTTCATTCAAATTTTTAATGAAACTTTTTTAAATGAATTTTTTCTTTTGATGATAAAAATCTGTTGCAAAATTCATTGTTATCTCATTCATTAATAGATATAGTGGTAAAGTCAGTTCCTTCAAAACTCTCAGTATGGAAGAGTCAATCAGTTTATCCCTTTAAATTGGTTGGCTTGTGATATCAGATTTTATTAAGAATACTCAATCCAAATTTTAGTCATTTTTGCAAAACTATAAAACTTCTCATCCTTCTTCTATTTACGTGTATGAAGTTTTCAGTTTTTGTTTTTTGATTCTACATTCCAAAGTTCTAATGTGAGAGAAACTTTGCAGCTGTAGGTATAAATATCGATGGCTTCAAGCAAATATAAATTTATTTATTTCAATTGGCTCTAAAACCCGTGGTTGAATTAATCTAAAACAGTCATGCAAAGAGTAAAGACCCACAATCTATTAACTGTATTTCAAAGTCAGAATTTCTGAAAACCAAGTTTTTTTGTAATTCATTTATTGGCAAAACTCTTCTTGAGCTATTTATATTTTTAACCTGTTCAATCTGGAAAGATAATAAATTTAGTAACAAATATGGGCCCAGAGCTTTGAAATAGAGATGGCGATTCTGTATCTAAGAAAACTAACAGCGCATTATATACAATAATAGCTATAATAAGAAGACTAAAGTAGTTCTTTTAATGATTTTGTGTGGTCTTGTTAGTCAAACTATACTCTGA